ATAATTTTATAATATTTATCGAGAAGGTAAAAGTTAAGATATAATAGAAAAGTGATATAATAATAATTTTTATTATAATTTTATAACTTTAAGAATTATTTAAGATTTTTTTATTTATATAAAATTTATGATATTAAATATATTTATTTATTTAATAATATATAAAAATTATATAAAAATATTATCTTTATATTACTATCTTTTAAAATATTAAAATTATTTATAAATTATTCAAATATTTTTGATGCATTAATTTAAGATGGCGATATAAAGATAATTTTTTAGTTTTTATATTATTTTTTATATAAATTTCATATATCATTAAATAAGTGAATGCATTTAATATTATAGATCATAAATAAATAAAAAGAATTAATTATTTAAATGACACGTAAAATTGAAAAAACATAATATAAAAAATTATTTTTAAATCATTTTCTATTAATTTATGAGCGATAATATAAAGGTAATTTTTTAATATTATTTTTTATATAATTTTAACATATTAGTAAATGAGTAAATATATTTAATATTATAAGTATTAAATGAATAAAACGAGTCAATTTTTTTAAGTGATACGTAAAGTTATATAAAAAAATAATGTAAAACATATTATAAATCATTTTCCTTAATTTATAAAAGTCATTTATTTTTTTTACCTTCTTTTATGACATTTTAATTATTAAAACTTTCTATATTTTGGAATCTCAAATTTACTTACCAAAAAAAAATTGTTCTTTTTCTAAAACAAAATCGAACTGATGAGGACTGGGGGTGGGCATTCGGGTGGGTAACCGAATGGTTACTGAGAAACCTAATTGAAAAAATGAATTTAGTTTAGTTTTAATGATTTTTAGGTTTTATTGTTTTGATTTTAATATTAATCAAATAAATTTTAGTTCAGTTTTGATTAAATATTTCACAAACTAAAAACAAAAAATGAGCCTTTTGAAAACTAAAATTTGAATAAATATGACAAAATATGATAAAATATAAGATAAAATATAATTTATTATTGAAAAAAATTGATTAATATTTATTTAGTAGAAACCAAAATCAAACCAATTTTATTAATAACCGAACCAATCAATTTGTAAAACCTTCTATTCCGTGTTGATTTTCAAAATTCAAGAAAAAATTTTGGTTATTTTCAAAACCAGTTTAAATTTCAATGGAAACTGGTTTTTGTCCACCCCTAGCAGGGACCTTCCACATCGCGGTAGGAAAATGTTGATTTTACGGTTTTCTCATAAAACGAAAAGAGCGAATGGCACTCTTAAGAGAAACCGAATTGAGAAAATTTGGCCCAAAATGAAACCGAATTGAGGATTAACCATAATGTACAAAAAATAAGGTTCAATTCAACTAATATAACCGTTGGTTAGAAAAGTGGAACACATGTTTCTAAATTAGAATTTAGAAATATAAATAAATAGATGTTTAATTTAACAAAAAAATTATTTTATTATTTAAATTATATTAAATTATAAAATAATAATCATTAAATTGAGAGAATTTTTGAATATTAAACTCCCTTTTCTTAATTTAAGAAATTAATTTTACAATTCAATATAATTTAAATTATAAAATAAAAAACCTTTAATTTAATTTAAAACTCCTAAAAAATGCCTTTTCAATTTCCAATAGTAGACGCTTATGAAAAAAAATATATATATACTAGTTACGAAAATACAAATACTAGATAAGACAATCATTCAAGTTCAAGACTTTACCTTTCATCATATTTTAGTTTTTATAATTTGTTCGGGTTTTATGATAGAACCATTTTTTTAAATCTCTTCTGCCAATGAAGCAGTAAACCGATCCATTTTCATGAAAAAGAAAAAGACGGTTGAACCGATCCGATGGCGGAAAATCAAAAGGTCAACTATGGAATTTCCAAAAGCGAAAGCGCTCTCATACTTTCCTATAAAATTCCCACAGCTCAGCTGTATTTCCCCTAAAACTGGAAGGTCTCTAGCTGTACTGTCGTCTTTATCTGAACTTGATAATTTTAAGGAGATAGACCGGTGAAACTCGACGACGACAACCGTAGACATGGCGGACACTCTCGCTGCTTTGAGATCTCTAATGGCCGCTCACTCCCCTCCTCTGGATGCGCTGGTTGTTCCATCCGAAGATTATCATCAGGTTAGACTTCTTTACCTTTTTTTTTTTTTTTGGTTCATCAATTTCATATCGTTGTTCTTAATTTGATTCCTTGGTTTCGTGTTGATCTGTTATGTTACAGAGCGAATATGTGTCTGAGCGAGACAGGAGGCGCGAATTCGTTTCCGGATTCACTGGAAGCGCAGGTATCAATTTCGGTTTTCTTGTTGATTTTTTCTTATGCCAATTTTGAATTGATTTATTAAGTTTTTTTTTTTTTTTTTGGTTGTCATTTTCATAATTTTGAGCGTTTGAATATGATTCAGGTTTGGCACTCATCACAAAGGATGAAGCTAGGTTGTGGACCGATGGCCGCTATTTCTTGCAGGCGGCGCAGGAGCTTAGTGATCAGTGGAAACTTATGCGTATTGGAGAAGATCCTGCCGTGGATGTTTGGATGTCTGATGTAAGTCGATCTTTTTTTGAGCTCTATGTACTATTTTATTGGAGAAATGCCATCAGAAATGCAAAATTTTGTATTAGTTGAGATATATGTTGCATATTTGATGCTTTTGGATGATTTCTGTAGAAAGCTGATTCGAATGTACATTTGATATTGTAATTGTAGTATGCAGCTAATTAGAATTTGGTTGTTGGTTTGTGTGCAAATTCTAATATTGAATGGTTCTTGAAATTGAATTCATTAGAACCTTCCAAGAGATGCAGCTGTTGGTGTTGATCCTTGGTGTGTGTCGGTGGACACTGCCCGAAGATGGGAGCTTGCTTTTGCCAAAAAACAACAGAAGTTTGTGCAGACCACCACAAACTTAGTAGATGAGGTTTGGAAAAATCGACCACTAGCTGAAATAAGTCCAGTTATTGTTCATCCATTGGAATTTGCTGGTCGTTCTGTAGCAGAGAAATTAAAGGATTTGAGGGAACAACTTGCCAAGGAGAATGCTCGTGGAATAATCATAACAGCACTCGATGAGGTAAATTTTATCAATCTCTGCTGTAGTTACTTTGTAGCTCATTTTAACTTGAGGTTTGAAACTTTTTTTTATTAATGGACTCGTCTTCCTGCTAATTTTCTTCCCTTTGTTGCTGTATCAATGTGGAATTTATTGGGTATATTTGATCGTAATGGTGGCTATGTAGGTTGCTTGGCTGTACAATATTCGAGGGGGTGATGTGCCTTACTGTCCTGTTGTTCATGCATATGCTATAGTAACATCTAGTTCTGCTTTCCTTTATGTGGACAAGAAGAAGGTGTGTTCTGAGGTGAGTTTCCTTACATTTCTGTTGATATCTTCTTGTTGTTTTATCCTGTTTCTGCTTGGCAATGAAAGCTGACCAACATTCTATCTGATCCAATAGTGAAATAATGCCATAGTTGCATGTGTCACATTTTATAACAGTGTTCTAACCTGTTTGTTAAGTATGGTTTGAATCTAACAAATTAGTTGTCTAAATGTATTAAGCACCTGCTTATTGATGTAGGTAAACTCTTCCTTGAAAGAGATTGGTGTTGAAGTTCGGGACTATGATGTTGTCAGTATAGATATCGTCTTGCTCGCATCTGATCAGCTTGATGCTACATCTGCTCTTAGAAAAACTCAAGACAAAGTTACATATGATGGAGGAAAAGACAATACTGGAAATGCTACAAGAGAAGTGGAAGAAAAAACTAATGATCTCATATGGGTTGATCCTGGTTCATGCTGCTATGCTTTGTATTCAAAACTAGATGTTGATAAGGTGCTGCTGCAACAGTCACCCCTGGCCCTTGCAAAAGCCCTAAAGGTTGTACATATACTTCTTATCCAATTTATGAACATAACATTAGTTTAACTGTTGTTTTTTCTGTCTTGGAAATAATTTATCAATTGAGTTGATCATATTGTGCATTGTAGATTTATGAATTAAAACTAGAATAGCTAAATAAGTGGCATTTATTTGATCATAATGTTTTATATACCGTTTTATGCTTATTATCTTATTGTTTTGTTAACTTAGAACCCAGTTGAGCTAGAAGGGTTGAAAAACGCTCACGTCCGGGATGGTGCTGCCGTTGTGCAATATCTAGCATGGTTGGATAAGCAGGTATGGGAACCTGAATTTTGTTTGTTCTCTTGATGTTCAACAAATTCTTTCTCTGATAAAGTCACTACCTGCTCCCACTTAATCTGATCCTGATATTTTCCATTTCCCACCATACTTGTTTTAAAGCTTGAACATGATGAGAACAATACTTGTTTCTGGTGTACAGATGCAGGAGATTTATGGTGCCCCTGGTTTTTTCGTGGATGGTATTGGAGCAAAGAAAATAAAGCATCAGTAAGTCCATTCTGTTTTTCATGAAATTTCAATATGATTTCAATCCATGTATCATGTCATCCATTCACATATAGAGCTCCCCAAACACATTCTCTTTTACTAGGAGCATGGATTTATTAGGATACACTTCATAGTAGATCTAAACAGCATGGAATATTTAGTGGCTGAGAAAAGAAGAGATTAATGTCAGTCAGTAAACTTAATATTGTGTTGTATTAATTTTGTTCATGATTATGTTTTACTAGTATTATGGTCCATATTCATATTACATGTTGAAGTCATGTTGCACGGAGCCTACAGATATCAGGGAATCTCTGACTGTTTTCATCAACTAATTAAGTGTTACTTATGTACTTCTGAGTTTGGCATGGAGAAAGTTTCTCATCCTATTGCATTGATGTCAACCTGATGCTAAAAAAATCATCTTTTCTATGTCTAAAATGGCCTGGCCAATAACGATACCAGAAAATTTGTCCCTAACCATGATTCCATGAAGTTTTTGCTCTCCCTTTTCTCCCTAATCTTGTTCTTTCATTTCTCATTGTTCTGTTCTTGTCCCCATGCTTTATTAATTTTCTTCTATCCCATTATCACATGGGATCCTGGCAAGCAGGTTCTATGTTAACACTTTTTTTTTTTCTCTGACAAAAGAGAAGTTGCCAACTTCTAGAAAGTATTCTGAGGTTTGGATGCAGTTGTTCAATTTTTGACATTAAATGTAAATAAACTGTAACAGGGAATCCATGAAACTGACGGAGGTGACTGTAAGTGATAAGTTGGAGGATTTTCGAGCATCAAAAGAGGTAATATTGCTATTTGTATAACTTTATGAGCTAATAAAAATAGTAAGGTACCATTTAGGTTGTTGGAATAATCTTTAAATTTTGAAATGGAGTAGCTTATGAGCTATTTAAAATTTGGATTTGATTGAAAGTAAAAACCTTCATATTAATAACTTCAATATGATATTTTTTTCCCAGTGAGTTGAACTATTATTCTCTCTATAATAGAAAATTACAAAAACTGAATTATTTTGTCATGTGGAGTCATTGATATATTGCTTAACTGCGGTTGATCACATTACTTATTAAAATCTGACTTGTGGAGTCATCAGTTGTGCTAGTTGCCTTTTTAATTGTTTTTTGTTTAATTGCAGCGCTTTAGAGGCCTAAGTTTTCCTACCATTTCTTCTGTTGGTCCAAATGCTGCCATCATCCACTACTCACCACATGCAGAAACATGTGCGAAGCTTGATCCAGATAGCATTTATCTATTTGATTCTGGGGCACAGGTTCGTCACCAAACTAGAGTGGTTTAGATTATGCCAATTAAATAAAGTTGGTTGGCTAATTTTGTAATTAATTATGTTGATGGCATTGCTGTAGTATCTAGATGGAACAACTGACATAACTCGGACAGTGCATTTTGGAAAGCCTTCTGCACATGAGAAGACCTGCTATACTATGGTAGGTGGCTGCTATTGATCTCTTTTGTGGATACTTCATACTGGGTAGTTTTGTTTTGTAAATAGAGATTCTATGATTCATCAAAATTCATTTGTCCTTTGTCTGTGATTTTGTTATTTGTTTCCAAACGTAAGTAGGGGCAATTTAGGCCATTTGAATTTTCCTCTCTTTTTGTTTTTCTACTTTGAGATCTTGGAATTAATCTCTAATGGTAGGCTGCTTAGCTTCCATAATTCCTAGATAAATGATTCAAATTTGTTTTCTTATTCTCACCAACTCTTGAAGTTGTTGCTTGCTTCAATGTAGGTTCTCAAGGGCCATATTGCTTTGGGCAATGCTCAATTTCCTAATGGTACAAATGGTATGGCAAGCTTTTCTTACTTTTGTTTTAAACTCTGAATTTTATCAGTTTCAAACCCATTATGTAGAATCTGTGGAAACCTTATTATCTGTATACATGATTTTTGCATTTTCTTTTATTAATTGCTTTTTTCAGGTCATGCTCTTGACATTCTTGCTCGTGTTCCTTTGTGGAAGTATGGTCTTGATTATCGACATGGTACTGGTCATGGAATTGGGTCTTACCTAAACGTTCATGAAGGTCGGCAATGAACTACAATTGTTTTCTTAGCTATCCTTGTACTTGATCAAACTATTCACTGTTTTCTTCTTCCTTATGTGTTTATATGGGTGTTGAACTATTTTGGGCAGGACCTCATTTAATTAGTTTCAGACCACAAGCCCGAAATGTGCCACTTCAAGCTTCCATGACGGTAACAGATGGTTAGTGTCATCCTATTCCAAATACTTCAGCTGCACTATGTGAACTGCCTGTGCATTGTTCTATTGTTAAAACTATTTTGTTGACTATACCTGGGGTTACATTTTCTATTAAACATTGGGGACACTTTTACATGCGCTGAAGGTTTTACTATCGGTTACTTTTTGTTCCCAATTTCTTGCACCATAATTGCTCTTTTGCTTCATTTGTCACTTCTTTATATGTGCTCCAAGTTTTCAACAATTAACAATTTAGTCTGTGAAGGTTGTTTCATTGATTCCACAAACCCCCCCCCCCTCCCCACCAACCTTGTTTGGTTGTTCCTTTATGGGATTTCTTTCCTTATTGATAATTGCAGATGTAATGTAGAAATACTGTTAATGTAATGCAATGCTAGACTAATACTTATTATGCTGGTTTTGTATTATTTTATGCATTTTGTTTTATGGGTCTTTTGAAGAACAAAAGAATAATATGAAAACTTCATTTCTCAGAACCTGGGTACTATGAGGATGGCAGCTTTGGTATAAGATTAGAGAATGTGCTGATAGTCAAGGAGGCGGATACAGAATTCAATTTTGGTGACAAGGGCTACTTATCATTTGAGCACATAACATGGGTAAAGCCTATGTGTACTTTTATCATCCTCAAAGATTTTGTTTGTTTTCTTTTATTTTCATTTTAAGGCTTACAGCAGATTAAATTTTATAATTTTGATGCCCTTAATCTCTTAGTTTGGTAATTAAGACTTTGGATGGAAAATAAAGGAAAAGAAAATTCCTCTTTTGAGATTCTAGTAATAATAGGACTTCATGGAAACTGTTTTTTTCAGTTTAGTTTCAGCAGTTAATTTCTAAAGCTGATATCTGATTCAATAAACTATATGTTTCCATCCTCTAGCGCATCTATTTGTACGTTTCTATTCCTTATGGAAATCTCTCTATTTTCCTATTATGGGATGCATGTTAGGATTTCAAAAGTTTTCCCTTTCCTGAAATATATATTTTAAAAGAGAGCTTGCTGAAAGAGCTGAATCTGCTACTGATCTAGTTTTTGATGGTTTCTCTCACATTCAGACACCGTATCAGAAAAAGCTGATCGACTTTAGCCTACTGACACCCGAAGAGATTGAATGGCTGAATACCTATCATTCAAAATGTAGAGATATCCTTGGCCCCTTCATGGACGAACGTGAGAAGGCATGGCTCAAGAAAGCCACCGAACCTGTAAATGCCTAACTATGGCAGGGAAGTCATTTATATCTCATGTAAATGGATTTGTTTTATTTTCTTAGACCATCCATTATCTTCAACAAGTATATTTATGTAAGATTTCTACGCATAATTCTATCTGGAATAAATTTTATGAAATTGAATTTGCAGATTACCATTGTTTGGCTCATAAATTTCTAGTTTTACATTTCATATTCAATTAAACCATTGGATTAAGATCCATGGCTTGAGTATCGTGGTCTTTGAACGTTAGCGCAGGTCTTTATTGGAAGCTTATTTAATTATAGGTATTGATGATGATTCCTTGTTGCCAATTATAAGGCCTTTGTTTTTAAGTCTTATGGTCCTAATCCTTGCTACCTCGGACGGTGAATGATATGAAGAACCATCCTCAGTCAAACCCTTCCGAGCACTACTTTTGATGAGCTCCCTAACTCGAGCGTTCATGGCTTTCCCCTCTTCTGCCATAATCTTAATCACCTTATTTTCTATATCTTCTCTCCCCACAACTTCACCCGACAGCTGTGCCTTTGATCGGATAGCCACTCCAAGCTCCTCAGCCAACATCGTTCATTTTCTGCTCGGCGTAGAGCGGCCACGCAATCATGGGAATCCCACTGACCATGATCACTGAATTCCACCCACAATGTGTTAGGAATGCACCAATTTGATGGATGTTGTAATATCACTTCTTGTAGGACCCATATCAGAATCACCCGTCCTCTATCACGGGTTCGGGTCAAGAACCCATCGGGTAAGTAGTGCTCCGGATTATCATTAGCCCGGTTGCCTAACGTCAGAAAGGATCCGGATGCATCATCCTCAACAGGAGGACGCACCACCCAAACAAACCTCTGCCGGCTTAGGTCTAGACCCCCAAGCCAGCTCAGCAACCTGTTGAGCTGATAAGGTCCCACTGCTTCCGAAGGAGATGTAAATTACCGACTCATTCGGTTGCATGTCGCGCCAACTTCTCACCGCGTTGTCTGAAACCAGAACCGGTCCAACGGATCTAGTTAGCAAACCAATTGGGTAAAACCGGAACTTCTACAATGTTCTTCAAGGCTTCGAGTGTTGTGGGCTCAAGATCATGCCACGAGTTGACCAAAATTCCATCTGCAGCCTTTTTGATTTGAGTCGCAGGACGACCAATCCGTTCATACATTGGATCACCCGGATGATATTGAAAGATATACTTGGAGGTATCCTCAAAGCAAAGCGGCTTGCAACCTGGAATTTTCAATGGTTTTTTGGTGGAAAACATGCTTATCAATTGTGTCCTATAAAATTGTTCGCCATAAACATCTATACATGTCCTGCCAGGTGGTTTAATAAACATCTTTACATGTAGATTTGGTATTAATTTTAGGTTCTGTTACGTGTGGGCTCCTGTTAGATTAGTTTCATAGAATGAAACTTGAATTTTGATAGTATATGAAAATTTTACACGTGAATTTCAATATAAAACTATAATTTAATTTAAAATTAATTGACAATAAATAAAGTAAATCTTTTTATGTTTAATTTATATACTTATTTGCTATATAATGTGAGATTTTTTTACTCAATATGCCTTCTTATCATGTGGTTTAATATGTTCATTTACATGAATACCATGCATTAGAAGTCATGAATACGTACTTCAACATGTTGAATTCGTCCGGGATTGAGTAAGCATCAGTTCCAAACATGTCCACAATTAGAATTGTGGGACGGGACTTCATGTTGGAAATTTTAGATTGAAAAATTGGTAATGATTCGTGAATCTGTACAAGGAGTTTTATTCCCAGAGGTACAGTTTGGTCCAGTTGGTTAGGTGGTTCAATAGATGCGAGGGGAACTATATTTAGGAGGTCATTATTTTGTGATTGAAGGAGTTGGGAGTATGATGCGTTGAATGCATGATCTACTGTTACTATAAAGAGGGTAACACGAAAGCTATGGTCAGAAATGAGGCGTTTCCCGAGCTCAAGCATGGGGATGACATGTCCCATGCCAGGGCTAGCGAGTAAGGCTGCATGAGGCTTCGCTCTGGCCGTGGACACTGGGTGAGAATCTTCAGTAGGAAGGTTAATTGGAGGTTTGCAGGGTGGTGAGTTTGCTATGATATTTATAGTCCTAATGCAAGCATTGAGTTTTGTGCTAATTGATTTATTATGATAGATATTTTTTTATAGTCTCGTGTTATGCAATCCATAAAATGCCAATCTTAAGGTAATTAGGAGAGCTTGACTGATTTAATGATAAGTATTTTATTATCTGAAACACTTTTACTTTATTTTATTTTTTATTAAGAAAAAAAAAAACAATGATAATCAAAGAAGTTGATACAATTTCGTATCAGTTGGTATGTTGGTATGGTCAGTATGTACCTTGTTTTATTAATTTAAAATGGTATAAGGTTTAATTTTGATTTAGTCAAATTTTAGCTATTTGGTCAATTTTTGATGTATAATTGGTATTTTGCATACCGATTCGATACATTGAAAATTGGCTCGTAGAAATCAATTCAAATTTAAAAAAGGTTAAATGTTATTTTTAGTTTTCAACTTTACTATTTTACATAATTTTCATCTTTTAATTTTTTATGCGCTTTTTTAGTCCCTTAACTATGAAAAATACATTTTTTTATCATTCTGTTAATTACTCCATTAACTTTGTCTAAATATGTACATTTTTAATTCCTTAACTTAAAGTTGAAAGGCAAAAAATATGCATATATTAGAAGTTGATGGACTAAAAAGGTGTAATTTTAGTCCTTTTTGACAATTTTAGATTCATATTTCTAATTCTCAGTGTTCATCGGTTGCTGCTTTTTCTTCTCAGTATTGTTTTGGTTTGTTTTTTGCATTCTTGTTATATTTACAAGACATAATTCCTTTCCCTATAGAAATATTTTGTATTACGAATTGCATAACATTAAATCTAGAACACTATTATATTTCTTAAAATTATCTTAATCTTCTTAAAAAAAGGAAAAAATTATGGATGTTTTATAAGGTTGGCTATTTTAAACTTGTTTTCAATTTATAGGAACATGATAATTTTAAACATTAATTTCTATTATTATTATTTTAAATTTTGTATTTAATTTATAAAAAAATATTTATAACAATAAATTAGAAACAGTACCTCAAAAATTTTGGTATCCAACATGTACCGTTTCATGTACCGTTTTAATAACAAAACCAATACGTATGCCAGTACAATATTGACTCCCTTGATGATAATAGTATTGCATTGTCAAAAACTCATAGGAGCTAAAAAGAATGACATTATGATAGGAATTCTTGTGTTCTGAATAAATACTGGTGTCTGTAGTAAGATAATGTCATTCAAAACTTTATATATTCATTCCAATTTGATTGGATGTATTAACATAGGAAAATGCTGTGTGCACCCTCCGGTTCAACACCCAGGGGTGCACATCCTTAATAACCAAACAATTTTAACAATAAAATAACAGATTTAACCTTAAAAGTCATTTTCCTCTCAATACCCCTTTTTCTTTTTGTCTCTCCATCTTCCTCTACTGAATTCTTCTCCTTCCTCGAAACCAGATCTACTTTACCCTTTTATTTATTTATTTATTTTTTTTTTGGGGGCTACTTAGCGATGACGATGATGATGGTGGTGATGGTGACGGAAAACAGAGAGATCTATGGTTCTGCCCCTTTCCTTCTATTTCGGTGGTGATTGAGGATGGTGATGGAGGTGGAGGTTGTGATGATGATGAGATGCAAGGAGATGATCTCTGGGTTCTCCCGAGAGAGAGAAGGAAAAAAAAAGGGGTCTGGGTTCTGGGTTCTCCGAGAAGCTCGAGAACCTGGACGAAAAAAAAAAAAAAGAAAAGAAAAAAGGAAAGGCTGGGTTCTCCAGGAGAACCCAAGAAGAACCCAAATCTGGGTTCTCTAGAGAACCCAGACGAAAAAAAGAAGAAGATAAATTTGTAATTTTACGTTTAAAATTGTTTGGTTAAGTGGAGTGTGCACCCCCGGGTGTTAAATCAGGGTGTGCACTAATCATGGTCCATTAACATAATACCCTAGTTGTGGTTCACATACTGTGTGTGAACTCGTTTTATACAAAATTTTTTTTTATAACAAGAATATCTGAACATTTGCACTTGGGCTTCATAAGTCGATAGCAAAATATGCTTCATCGTAAGGTGCAGCTTTTAGCCTTAGAATTGGAGTTCAAATCCCCCTCCCCAAAATTGTAATCCATTCCAAAAAAAAAAAAAAAACTCTATTTTTATATTAAAAAAAAGGCAAATAAAGCAAATTACATATACATATATATATAAAGATGAATCCATTTACATAAAAACCTTACAAAAATTTAAAATATATAAGATTTATGTGTAAGTAGATCATTTCTTATATATATAAATTAAAATTCATTTACATATAACTTTTATACATATATATTACTTATATAAACCCTTGATAATTTATCTCTCCCTTATGAATTATTAGGGATTTATCTACCTTTTACCTCTATATATATCAACAGAGGCGTTAGCAATTGTTGTTGCATTTATTCTCTGTCCAAATTTAAATGGTTTAATTAGAGTTTAATTAATTAATGTTACCAGAATGGCGTTGTGTTGCAGTACATTTGTGAACATGAGTCTTGGCTTTGCTAACTTTCTTTTAGCACATTAATTTAAAAATGAGTTATTTAATAAAAAATAATCCTTTTAATTTTTAAATTCTTCATATTCGTTTTGAGGTTTAAATTAAACTTGAAATTTTAATTTTAAATTTTAAATTTTTATCATTTAAGAACTAAGACACATCATCTCGAAGCAGACCTTGTAGAAAAGATCAAAAAAGAATCGCATGGTTAATTGTAGAGGTGTCTATCAAATGTGAATATCATCGGATGTTTTATGATGTCCATATGACAGTGAAATGGACTAACTAAGAATATTAATTAACAGGTCTAGAAGAGTGCATGTGATATGTTTCATTTTAGCTGGCGAGGGACGTGACCAAATTAATATAAAGATTAAAGATATTAATCAGTAGACAGAAATTAATTGAAAACTCAGGGGAGAGTAACAACATTACTAGTATAAATTATGCCGACCTCCTGCTAAGTATTCGTAGTCTTTGTAAAAATAGAAAGTGTTACAACTAAATGAAATATTTATATAAATTATGCTAACCTCCTAGCAGGTATGGGCTCGTATTCGTATTTGTATTCGTATTTGTAACAGAGTATTGGAGAGTGCCAAATTGGGGGGATAGGCGTCATGGTAGAAACGTATATATACTTAAAATATGTTTGGTGAAACTT